CACTCAGGTCAAAGTCTCATGGCCCTCTATCAGAATCCAGAGTTTTGAGAAGATTGGAGAAACTTAATTTTTCGCCCCAAAAAAAAAAAACGTAAGGGGTAACACTGTCGTTTTTTTTTTGGGTCGAAATTTTGAGTTTCGATATCTCAGCTCTGGAAGGGTCTAGAGCCTCCATTTTTGCACTCAGGTCAAAGTCTCATGGCCCTCTATCAGAATCCAGAGTTTTGAGAAGATTGGAGAAACTTAATTTTTTGCCCCCAAAAAAAAAAACGTAAGGGGTAACACTGTCGTTTTTTTTTTCGGGTCGAAATTTTGAGTTTCGATATCTCAGCTCTGGAAGGGTCTAGAGCCTCCATTTTTGCACTCAGGTCTAAGTCTCATGGCCCTCTATCAGAATCCAGAGTTTTGAGAAGATTGGAGAAACTTAATTTTTCGCCCAAAAAAAAAACGTAAAGGGGTAACACTGTCGTTTTTTTTTCGGGTCGAAATTTTGAGTTTCGATATCTCAGCTCTGGAAGGGTCTAGAGCCTCCATTTTTGCACTCAGGTCAAAGTCTCATGGCCCTCTATCAGAATCCAGAGTTTTGAGAAGATTGGAGAAACTTAATTTTTCGCCCAAAAAAAAAAACGTAAGGGGTAACACTGTCGTTTTTTTTTTCGGGTCGAAATTTTGAGTTTCGATATCTCAGCTCTGGAAGGGTCTAGAGCCTCCATTTTTGCACTCAGGTCTAAGTCTCATGGCCCTCTATCAGAATCCAGAGTTTTGAGAAGATTGGAGAAACTTAATTTTTCGCCCAAAAAAAAAAAACGTAAGGGGTAACACTGTCGTTTTTTTTTTCGGGTCGAAATTTTGAGTTTCGATATCTCAGCTCTGGAAGGGTCTAGAGCCTCCATTTTTGCACTCAGGTCAAGTCTCATGCCCTCTATCAGAATCCAGAGTTTTGAGAAGATTGGAGAAACTTAATTTTTCGCCCAAAAAAAAAAACGTAAGGGGTAACACTGTCGTTTTTTTTTTCGGGTCGAAATTTTGAGTTTCGATATCTCAGCTCTGGAAGGGTCTAGAGCCTCCATTTTTGCACTCAGGTCAAGTCTCATGGCCCTCTATCAGAATCCAGAGTTTTGAGAAGATTGGAGAAACTTAATTTTTCGCCCCAAAAAAAAAAACGTAAGGGGTAACACTGTCGTTTTTTTTTCGGGTCGAAATTTTGAGTTTCGATATCTCAGCTCTGGAAGGGTCTAGAGCCTCCATTTTTGCACTCAGGTCAAGTCTCATGGCCCTCTATCAGAATCCAGAGTTTTGAGAAGATTGGGAAACTTAATTTTTGCCCAAAAAAAAAAAACGTAAGGGGTAACACTGTCGTTTTTTTTTTCGGGTCGAAATTTTGAGTTTCGATATCTCAGCTCTGGAAGGGTCTAGAGCCTCCATTTTTGCACTCAGGTCAAGTCTCAGGCCCTCTATCAGAATCCAGAGTTTTGAGAAGATTGGAGAAACTTAATTTTTCGCCCAAAAAAAAAAAACGTAAGGGGTAACACTGTCGTTTTTTTTTCGGGTCGAAATTTTGAGTTTCGATATCTCAGCTCTGGAAGGGTCTAGAGCCTCCATTTTTGCACTCAGGTCTAAGTCTCATGGCCCTCTATCAGAATCCAGAGTTTTGAGAAGATTGGGAGAAACTTAATTTTT